CATAATCTAGAACAGTCTTGCTGCGGTTTTAGTAGGACAGGTGAGTTAAGTTATATTGACTTCATTGAGAGTTTGGAAGGCTCAGAAATTCTGCTTGGAAAAATACTGTATTATTTCACTATGATACCAGATATAATAATGTTAACAAGGAAAAAAATGATGAAGCTCTTAGGGTGGTCAGTATTCGAGTTTCTCCCCATTTCCTGTTTGCAATTCTGGGATTTTTGTCATCAAGCTAGAAAATGCTAGAAATGATTGTTCACAAGACTGGCTACAGCCCCTGAAACCAGGCTGGATGTGAGCCATTTATTCTGCACAGTTTAATAAGGAATTCACAAGTCAGAACGAAAGTGAGTGGCAGCTGGATGTTTCCACCAATTGATCAGAAATTATCTGTTATGCATCAGGTTGAGGTGTCAAGAGCAAATATGCAGCTACACTTCCAAGCTCAGAGTGAGCGATAGGGTGCACAGGGTGAGGATCCGAGCGTGTCTCACCCAGAGGACAGAGAGCCGGCTGCGAACAGGGGTGCAGGGTGGGCGAGTGCTGGGGCTACCCAGTGCCCCTGAGCAGCAGGACCACTGCCATGGGCACCCACGGTGAGCACCGTTGGGGCTCTCACCCAGTACCTCACCTCACACAACCACTGCCTGGGGTGGGCGTGCCCTCATGGCGGGGTGAGGAGCTGGGGCCAGAGAGGCTATGGAGGATGCCCTTGGCTTCAGTGTGGCCAAGTGGCTGCGGCAAGCCTCGGCTGCATGCCTGCAGAGTGGGCGCCAGCACAGCTCAGGCACGTTGGGGACCAGGCCCACGGGACAGGGCCCTCCCCAGTGGGCCTGCAACAAGGGCAAGTGAGGAAGAGATCCTCACCAGAGCCGAGGCCCTGGCCATCCATACGGCGCCCGCGTGCACATGTGTGTGCGGGTGCTGTGCACAGGCCGAGCAGAGGGGGCCCGCCGCAGGTCGCCAGATGCTGAGTGAGTGACACCTGGTGTCTCCTCAGCACAGTCTCTCCTGTCACCTGGCGGCCCGAGAGGGGATGAGCGGTGGCTGCTGTCCTGGCCTGGTGACAAGTGACAACCCTCTTCGGGTACCGTGCTTGTCTGAGGGGACAGAGAGGCCCCAGCAGCCAAAGGCCAGGGCAGGGGAGCTTCCCAAATCCTTCCTGGGCTGCCGGCCCAAGCCGCCAGCGAGTCAGGGCGTGGCAGTGGGGCGAGCCGGCCAGCCTGCCGGCTTGGCATCTGATTATTGAAAGCTGGAAGCCCTTGAGAGACTGCAGGTGCAGAAAGTGCCATCTGGCCCGCCCTTCCTCCACGTAGCAGGCCATGAAAGTCCCCTTAAGATGCCTTCCCCAACCAGGTGAGAAAATGACCTTTCTCACCAGGGCCCGGGAACTGTGCAAACCGACCCGCTGACGAGACCCCTTGTCTTCCTCGAGCTCTGCACCCCCCGTGTCTCCTAGTGACGTCCCAGAATTCACTGCCTCTAGCCAGACTGCTCTGTCCTGTCACTTCTTCACAAATGTATCACTCTGTGTCACACAGTATAAAAGCTTCCTGCTCTGGCCATTTCTTCCCGTCTGCACTCTCTTGAAGAGCCATGCACATGTAAAAATGAGCAGAACTTGTACACTTTTCCCTTCGGGTCGATTTGCGTCCCAGACCAAGCCGAGAGCCCACTTAGAGCTGAACTGGGTAGAGGGGATTTCCGGCCGCCCCTGCGGTGGCCTCGTGTGACACCTGCGAGCTGGCACACTGGCGTCCCTCTGATAAGTTATCTTCACATGCCTCCTCCATCTTGGCACAATTCCCTCCTGCTTAACCCCCCCACCGTGGTCCCCAGGGTCTCAGTCGGCATTTAGTCACATGCACGACCCTGCGCACACCGCAGCCTGGCAGTGTCCCTCGCCTGCAGCCTAGTGGGACCGTCCTCTGCGGAAATTCCAGCGTTTCCTGCAAGATCAGCTGCAGCGTGGACAAGAGCTGACAGGGAATGTGTGCGTGAAGACGCTGGTTTGAAAACAGAGTCCACGTAAGTTCAGCACTTTAAGAAAATATTAACAATAAATGTCACTGGGGAAAAGTTCTAAATCAGACAGAAACAAAATATATTTATTAGAAATATTACACATCATACACTTTCCCGTTGACAGTTAAATACATGTACGTCAGCACGTCGCGCCCCGACAGTGCTTGCACGATCTAGCGTGCTCTTTACAGAAATGAGCTGCAGACGCGCGTCAGCGGCGCTCCGCGAGCGCACCTAGAGCTACGAGCGGCACAGGACGTCACGGGTTGGGCAGCGCTCTAGCCTGGGTCCGAGGATGAAACACCAGTGCATTCGGGTGACTGTAGATTTAAAAATAATTTTACAAAGGCTGCTAGGTCATGTCCGTTATGCATGTCATTGTCAGGCTATCTCGAAATGGCACTTGAGCTTGGGAATGGTGAGAGCCACCGCTGGGTTTGGCAAGGGGTCTGTATCTGGCGCGAGAGCGCTCCGTCTCCGGCCTGCGCCTCCAAGAGGAGGTGGGGGGGCGGACGCCTGGGGGTGTCGTGTCTAACAGCCATGGCATCTCTATGACAGCTGCAAAACAACTGAAGGAAAGACGAAGCAAAAGGCTGACACTGTTTTTGAAGTGAGAGGGGACTAGGACAGGAGAAGCTCCTCAGAATGTTGTCCCTGAGGGGTGGGGTCAAGGTGCTACCATCAGTCAATAAAATTCAGTCCAAGAAACAACCCACAGTGCAGAGAGCCACACACCTCTTAAAAGACTCCTCCACTCTTCTGGGCCTGCATTTTGCAGCTGTCTTTTACATAAAATTTATACATTTTTCTAAAAAGGGATCTGCAGAACCAACAATTATAAATGACCAGGTGTTGGCTGCGGGAAGATGGAAAGAAACTTGGTTACTGTGGACTCCGACAGCCTCAGGAGAGAACACTGGGAACGGTGCAAGCTGCTGAGCAGATGAAAACATAAGGTGCTACTTTGCTTCCTCAGTTTACTGACGTTCCACGTTCACCTGGTACTCTGAGCTCTCCTGTTAAAAAGGGACCTAAAAACCCTCCCCTTGGTCCAGCCCGGGTGGACCTGGCTGTGCTGGAGGGCCTGTCCCCTGCATCCCTGAGGCCATCAGTCATGGCCCCAGGACGCTGGCAGATCCAGACCTGCCCCGAAACACCGTGTCTCTATGGACAGGACACGCATTCCTCCTCTACACATGTGCCCAATGGCAACGAAAATGGCAGTCAGGGAACCTCCTTGAGTCACAAAATTAACTTGTACACGGCCTTTCTTTCATATGACATTTCTTTCCTTTTTAGCCCACAGGGAGCAGTGCACAAACAAGGATGGGTGAGTCTGGCCAAAGCTGGTGGCAATGTGGGCTCCCAGTGGAGAGGGCTGGGAGCACCCAGTGTGGAGGGAGAGACATGCAAAACACCCGCCATAAAGACTGCTCTTCCAGAGCTGCTTCGAGATCTGTCACACAGGATCAGTCAAAACAGATCTGGTCAAAACAGAGAGGCACAGCGCTCAAGAGCTGGGCGCCCACACAAGGCACCCTTGCCCTGCAGAGGTTCTCAACACGTGCGCATTGGCGTGTCTCAGGAAACTTGGAAAATATACAGAATACATTCCTGGTCCCCGTCCAGATGTCCTGAACCAACTGATGGGCCCAGGAGATGCTGACATCCGCTCACAGCGAGGCTCTTCTCCCAGGGCAGCTGGAGGGAGGGCACAGAGCCCACGCTGCTCCCAGCCTGGGCCTGGACCTGCACCCTCCCAGACCTGGCTCTGAACACGTGGGTCCGATCAGCAAGCAGAGATTTACTTTAAGCGATAATGGCAGCACTTGTAACTCTCAGTGACTTATTGCAAGGACGGTCCTTTGTCAGGGGGGCACTAACGCAGCTCTGTGGCACTTCAAACATCAAGTGATAGGCACCACGCATTTGCCTCAACGGCCTGGGCAAACTGCGCAGAGGAACACCAGATGGTTACCTGGGCTGACCGAGCACTTCTGAAGGGACTGGGGCAGCTCTGGGGAGGGCTCTGCTGCCACTTGGGGTAGCCAGCAGGATTTCAGGGAGCACTATAAATGGGGCCATCACTGTCCACCCCTAAGGGCTCCATTTTGCCATGCAAATGTAGGAGGCCCGCTGCAGCACTACAGAGTAGGCCAGTCTGGGCAGGATGTGGGGGGGATCGCCATCGGCCCATGGTCCCGGAGTCATGGGTGGTCGGCCGAGCTGTGCAGAGCCGTGAGGACCGGCTCCCTGCGTGCGCAGTGTGCATAGGGTGTGGCTGAATGGGGACAAAAGTGTGGGCAGAGGCTGGGTCTCCCAGTCGGCGTGAGTGGCCTGCTGCGTGGTGGCAGCTGTGGGCACCTCACAGGGCCTTCTGCAAAGTGTCCTGGGGCTTCACTTTTGCATTGCTTTTGATACAATAAATCAGAGACCGCAAGATCTCAAAAATGTAATCAAGTTCTAGGTTTTAATGTTGTTACCTAGAACTTGAGCACATCGCCCACAAAGGGCCGATGAGTTTCAAGGTTGCCCCGGAGCAAATGCTTCCTTTTCTGTGTTTTGTTTGGTGTTTTTTCGTGTTTTTTGACCAGGAGTGAAGGAGGTTATTTAGCAAGGGCAAAATTTTTATACAGGCAGAAGTCAGGATATTTTTAGCAAAAAAGAGACTGATCTGGAGGTGCTGTTCATCATCAATCTGCGTGCGGACGTCGCGTCAAGCCACCCATGGAGACGGGAAAGGAGCCCGCGGGGACGCAGGCGCGGAGCAGGGCAGCGGCCCTCCGGCAGCACCGCAGCCCGCGGCGCATCTGCGTCTGAGCGGGAGCGCCGGCCCAGCTCCGCCGGTCGCCTGTGTGTTGGCCCTCTCGGACTGAGCCTTCATTCGACGCCCAGACGCTGGTGGACAGTGGCCGGGGCCTTTCGGGACAGCCCAGCGCAGGCGGCTCAACGGCGGCTACGTCTCAAAGTACCTGTAGATCTGGGCCACGCACCGCATCACGCTCTGCCAGTCGGGCCGGTCCGTGCACAGCATCTCGCCGAGCTCCTGCAGGGGAGGGACAGGTCACAAGGGGACAGCACGGACCCCCACTGCGGACGCAGTCCGGGTGGGGCCTGCGCTGCCCGGAGGCCGCACGGCGGGAGGTGACGGCCCCAGCGCTGACTTCGAGGAGCTGCGCGCGGGAAGAGCCCTTTCCTCCGCTCCCTTGGGAGACGCCGCCCTGTCCGCCACAGAGACGTGGCCTCCCCCCCCCCCATCTCTTTGAATGACAGCATTAACAGACGTTTTGTAAAGAAAAGCGACTGGTAATTTCACTGTTGAAACAATTTCCGCTTTTCTAGGCCACACCTCTGGCGTCCAGGGCGTCCGCCTCAGCGCCCCTTGTGGCGAGCCGCCCGGGAGCGCCCTCAGGCCGCGGGCTGCTGTGCGCGCCCTTCTGTGGGTTAGCGCCTCCAGACACACTCCTAGGAGTGGGACTGCCACAGGAGCCTTGACCAGTTTAAAATGCAGCCATTTACTGTGCGGCGTGAAGTGTTATCATTTAGTGTGGGGTTTTTTGCTAGCTTACTGCTTTTCCGCCTTTTATTGCTAATTTGCTAGTCTTTATTTATTTATTTTGCTGATGTTGAAGTGCGTTAGCACTAAACACGCATAAGCAGGAGGCCAGAAAGCGACCGGCAAGGGAGTGGGCGCTCCGCTGCGCGCTCGGTCCAGCTTCTGTGCCACCAAACATGTTTAATAATTAACTTTGGGACTGGATATGGATTCTTGTGTGGTCACAGGGGACAGGAGGAAAGGGCCCTGATGGGAAGCCAGAGGCAGAGCTGCAGGGACAACACAGGGCGGGACTTGGCACATCTGTTCCTGGGCAGTGACGGAGCTGGCCGAGGCTGTTAATGAGCCATTTTCCTCTCGTTCAACAACATCTAGATAGACTTTACTGATTCTGCTCCTTGGTTACGCTAAAAAATTAACAGCATATCATTAGTCGTGGGGCAGGGTGGAAAGGAGCAAGTGGAATGAACAGTCTACACAGACATACCTGGAGCAATTTTAAAAGAAAAATCAAACTTTCACAGAATACAAGAGTACAAGGTCTCCTTCTGCTTAGACAGCTGCAGTCCTGCCTGTGCACACAGACTGGTCCCTGGAAGGCTGAAACCCTCACAACAGAAGGGCTGCAGATATGACGACATGAGAAGAAGCGATGAAGAGCAGAGCATGCTGCTTTGGAGACATGAGCTCTGAGGGAGGAGGGAAAACCTTCCTCTGTAGGGTGGGAAGATACACCTTCAATTTCAGAGAGGATTCATAAGTCCAATAAATAGTCACAGTTTTGGCCGGTCACGGTGGCTCACGCCTGTAATCCTAGCACTCTGGGAGCCCAAGGCGGGTGGATCGCTCAAGGTCAGGAGTTCAAAACCAGCCTGAGCAAGAGTGTGACCCCGTCTCTACTAAAAATAGAAAGAAATTAACTGGCCAACTAAAAATATATAGAAAAAATTAGCCGGACATGGTGGCGCATGCCTGCAGTCCCAGCTACTCGGGAGGCTGAGGCAGGAGGATTGCTTGAGCCCAGGAATTTGAGGTTGCTGTGAGCTAGGCTGATGCCACGGCACTTTAGCCCAGGCAAGAGAGTGAGACTCTGTCTCAAAAAAATAAAAATAAAAAAAAAGTCACAGTTTTACTCAGACTATCTTATATCCTTGACCCTAACAATAATTGAATTAAGAGTAAGTTGGTACATTGTTAACATCACATTTAAAATTTTTTGAAGAAATATTTTGGACATTTCAGGAGAAAGAGTATGCTGCATTAGTTACAATCTTATAATGCATGGCATCTGTTTGAATTAGTAGTTTAAACCCTTCCAAAAAAATTACCAGACACATACAATTTTACTGGTGGATTCTATCAAATACTTAAGAAGAAATAATACCAAACTCTACACAATTTCTTCCAAAACACAGAAGAGGAGGGAATACTTCTCAACTCATTCTACAATGCCAGATAATCCTATAGAGACATTACAAGAAACTACAGAACAATTTCTCACATGAACATGGACATATAAACCCTTATCAAATATTAGCAAATTGAATCCATTAATCTATAAAAAGTATAACACATTATGATTGAGTGGGGTTATCCCAGGAACATAAGCACAGTTAAATATTCATAAATCTATGTAATTCATCATATTAACAGACTAAATAAGAAAAACCATATCCTATCAACAAAGAAAAAGCATTACACAAAATTCAACAGGGATGATAGTTTTTATTCTTGATAAAAATTCTCAAAAAACTAGGAACAGAAGGGAACTTGTTTTACCTAGGATAATATGCATCAAAAACTAACAGCTGGCATCACACTTAATAGTGAGAGACTTGAATGCTTCTCCCATAAAATCAGGAAGAAGACAAGAATGTCCTCTCTCACTTGTCCTATTTAACATTGTACTGGGTTCTAGCTAGTGCAGTAAAACATGAAAAGAAAAAAATGGCATACAGATTGGAAAGGAAGAAGTAAAACTGACTTTATTTGCAGATATCATGATTGTCTACATAGAAAACCCAAGAGTCTACACATAAGTTTGGCAAAGTTTTAGAATACAGAGTCAGTATACAAAAGTCAACTGCTTTCCTATATGCCTGAAATGAACAACTGGAATTTGTAATAAGAAAAAAAAATTACCATTTACAGTAACACCAAAAAAACAGTATTAAGGTCTAAATCTAATGAAATATGTGCAGGATCTATATGCGGAAAACTATAAACACTGATGAAAGAAATCAAAGATCTAAATAAATGGGGATTATATTGTGTTCATAGATTGAAAGAATGAGCACTGTTAAAATGTCAGTTCTTCGCAGTTTGATCTATAGATACAATGTAATCACAATCAAAATCTAAGCAAACTTTTTTGTGGATATTGACAAACTGATTCTAAAATTTAAAAAGACAAAGGTACTAGAATAAACCAATTCTCAAAAGAAGAACAGAGTTAAAGGACTAGATTTCAAGATTTCTAATAAAGCTATATTAATCAAGACAGTGTGATATTGGTAAGGGACAGACACTTAGAACCACACAATAGAACCACACAAATATAGGCAACTGATTTTTGACAGAGGTAAAAATGCAATTCAACAGAGAAAGGACAGTCTTTTCAACAAATGGTGCTGAAACAATTGGATGCCCATATTCAAAAAAGAAAAAAAAAAGCCCTAAAGCCATACTTTATAGCTTACACAAAAATTAATTTGAAATGGATCACAGACCTAAATGTAAAATGCAAAATTATAAAAGTTCTGGGGAAAAATATAGGAGAAAATCTGTGTGGCCCTGGGTTTAGCAGTAAGATTTTCGATACCACACTGCAAGCATGGCAAAGGTCAAGAAAGAGAAAACTAATAAACTGGATTTTATCAAAATTTAAAACAGAGAAAGATATTGTTGAGAGAATAAAAAGACAAAGCCACAGACTGGAAGAAAATATCTGAGAATCACATATATGATAAAGGGCTTATATCCAGAATATACAAAAATTTTTTTTTAAATTCAACAATAAGAAAATAATTAAAAAATGAGCAAAAGCTCTGAATGGACACTTGGCCGAAGAAGTTGAGCTGGCAAATAAGCACCTGAAAACCAGTTCAGCATGGTCTGCAGAAGGGACATGCCAAGTAAAGCGAGATATTCTTATGTACATATTAGGATGGCTAAAACCTGAAACGATGGCCACGCCCAGCACTGGCGAGGAAGCAGGGCACCGGGAACTCTCTTTCTTGTGAACTCTCACTGTTTACAACTGAAACCATAACTACAACAAGAAGCCATGTCATTTATGGGATCATTTTTGCTTTTGCTTTTTTTAAGGCAGGGTCTTGCCACGTTGCCCAGGCTGGAGTGCAGTGGCTGTTTGCAGGCTCAATCCTGTTACTGATTGGCTCAGGAGTTTTGACTTGTTCGATTCCAACCTGAGCTGGTCCCCCCTCCTCAGGCAATCTGCTGGCTCCCCTTGCAGCCCTCCCACCTCAGCCTCTCGAGTGCTGGGCTTAAGGTGCACACCACCACACCTGGCCATTCACAGGATAATTTTTGTGATGTGAACACAAATTCTACCAGAAGATGAGTTCACTCAGTAATTTTCCACACAAGAAAAGCAAACACACAGGGAGGCAGCAAGTGGAGCACCAGAGCTGAGACGAGGCGTGCTGAGCACTTGTGAAGAGTCGATGAGGGGAGGGTCTCGGGTAGGGTTCACCCTAGAAGATGCTTTCTTCCCTATTTCATGCTAACGTAGGCCTTTCTCGGTTAATTTTTGCTAAAGGCTTAGCTAAGCACTATTCACATAAGAGAAGAGATGAATTTAGTAAAGTTCTTGCATATGTGTGTATCTAGATAAAAATGCAGCCTAACGTGGATAATCATAAAAAAATGATACGCATCTTATGTTTTTCATTTTAACTTGAAACATACTACTATACTTATTTGTCTATCTAGTGAGTTCTGGCCTTTTATTTGAGCCTGGTCCAAGGCTGGGGGTGTGAAGGTACCTTTCTTTAAAAAGCCAGTCCTAGATACAGGGGTCTAGAAGTTCTAATTTGTTTTTGTTTTTTTAAAGTGGAACAAAATTTAAGGAAATCTGTGAAGAAACTGACTGCAGAATCCATCTAGATGTTTACAATTGCTTCCAATCTTTTTTACAAATCCTTTCATTGTGAAACAGTACATACAAAAATGAATACAAAATAAAAGTCCATAATTTAATGAATTATTACAGACCAAATATTAGAATGTAATGACTACCCAAATCAAGAAGTAGCACGGTGCATCCCAGAAGCCCCTGTGGGCCCCTTCCTATTTATAGCCTGCCATGACAGTTGCCATGTGTGTCTTTCAAGAACCTTCTACAGCATTAATCTGACAAGCAGAAGCAAGCTTCTACTGTGCCTGTGAAGCTGATTCTGAACTTAAGGGCTAACTCTGAGTGACCGTGGACCCTTTGTAACCGGCACCTCAACCGACAGCATGGGGTGGTACCCACCAACGGGATACTGAAGTCAGAACAAGCAACATGGAAGAGACAGACTCCAGCCAGGATAAAAACGAACTTGGTCTGGAAAATACTGGCTGCTGATGAACAAAATGTGGTGTGCGTGTGCGTGTCTGTGTGTGTGTATAAAACGGGATACTCTTCAGCCTCGCTAAATCATGGATGAACCTGAGGACACTGCGCTAAGTGAAATAAGCCAGTGGCAAAAGAAAAACACTGTGCGACCCACTCGTCTGAGGTAGCTGGAGCAGTCAAGTTCACACAGACAGGAAGCAGACTGGGGGCTGCCAGGGCCTGGGGGAGGGGAGCATGGGGCAACTGTGTGCCGGGTGCAGAGATGCAGTCGAGGAGATGAAAAGAGTTCTGGACGTGGAAGGAGGTGGCTGAGTATGAATGTGCTCAATGCCACCGAACTGTGAACTAAAAATTGTTAACATGGTGAACCTTACACGTATTTTACCATAATAAAAAATAATTCAAAAAAAGATACAGCTTCTTGCTCCAATGAGGGTCCAATGAGCCTGGACGTGGGAAATGCCCAGAATGGTGCCTGGCACATAGTAAATGTGAAAAGAATGGTTTTCATGTAGTTAAGGTCAAATGAACCATTTAAATGAAAATTATCAAGTCTTCCCTGCAGGGCAGGCCCGGGAACCACCCTGACAGTTTCATGCAATCCTGAGCTGTGATGCACTCCCTCCACAGGGCACCTGAGGAGCGTAGCCTTGTGTGCAGAGCCTGTCCCAGTGGGCACTCTGGCTTCTCACTGGCAATGGCCTGGTGTGGCAGTGTCCCCATACTAAGACACAGGCACAGCAGCCCCGGAGGACAGACATTCTGATTGTTCTCTTGTTTCTGTTTTGAGACAGGGCCCCACTCTGTTGCCCAGGCTAGAGTGCAGTGGCATCATCATAGCTCACTGAAGCCTCAAACTCCTGGGCTCAAGTGACCCTCCTGCCTCAGCCTCCTGAGTAGCTGGGACTACAGGTGTGCACCACCATGCCTGGCTAATTTTTCTGTTTTTTGTACAGATGAGGGCTTGCTATGTTGCCCAGGCTGCTCTCAAACTCCTGATTTTAAGCGATCCTCGTGCCCTAGCCTTCCAAAGTGCTAGAATTACAGGTATGAGCCACCACACCTGGGCTATGGCTGCTTTTCATGGTAATGGCATGGCGCCACATACCCTCTCTCACCTGATTCTTTCTGAAGGGAGTCCTCACACTTTCCATCTGGTGGGCTAAGACTCTTTCATTATATAGTGGTTGAGGAGGAACACTTTCTAAAATTTGGGGAACACTGTAGAGCTTCACTTTTTAAAGATCTTATCCTTGCTAATATGCTATGCCCAGAAACTTATATCTGCTTGAATATACACATATAAAAGTTTCCCTGCAGAATCTAACAATGGAACTTGATCAAAAATTTGGAATTATTACTACTGTCACTTCTGATTGGGTGTAGTTTTAAAATGTCATGTGTAATTCAATGTATTATTTTTCAATCCACATCAAGTATTGAAAAGTAAACTTAAGAATGCAGGAAATTGGAGACTGGAGCAAGATGGCGGACAAGAAACACTGACAGAGTATCTCTGCAGAAAAGAGAGATTCTAAGAGAAATTAGAAGGAAGCAGCAAGCAGATGAGCATACACTGGACTAGGGTTGGAAGGAGGGGTACCTGAGACCACGGGAGGAGGTTGAGGAGGAGAACTGGAAGCACAGACCTGAGTAGCCTGGAGACCAGCGGCAAGGGAAGGTGAAGCCGTTAACTTTCCCCTCCCCTGCATCTTGGACTGCTGGTGGGCTCCCCAGAGGTTGGAGAGACCTGCGGACACCAGCCCAGAGATGGCCACCGCCAGAGAGCGGTAAGCCAGTAGCGGACGCAGCTCTAGGCCGAGGGGCACCTCCCTGTGCACAGACCCGAGCCACGAGGCAGGCGCTATATTGCTACACTCTCCCCTCCGCAGACCCTACCCGCAGCTGCAGAGACAGACAATATAGCCACCAGCAGGAGGCACCTCCAGGGAACAGGACCTTCCCCTTGTGGGGCCCTACAGCTGACTGAGGGGAACTCAGACTGTGAGCTCCCTACCCGCCAGCCCTCCCAGGTGCTGCTGGCATGGTGACCCCAGGAGAACGGGGCAGACCCTGAGGCTGAGAGATATAGACCCAGATTGGGCTCCCCATGGGTGACTTGGGACCGGCACTCCTCTCCCTGGTGGGGATAGGGATTGAACTCTGGGGCCCAGATGTCAGACCTGCAGACCAGATCCCGTGCACCAAGGTCTCGCATTGCGCGGGGCACAGAAGGGATATCCGTGAACAGCCTACTAAGGTGTGTGTGCCTTCAGGGGCAGATCAGCGTCCTAGAGGGCAACCCTCTTCCCAAAGGGAGGCCGTACGCCCAGCCCAGGTGGGGTTCCTGTGCAGGGAAACTCCCCGCTGGCATCACAGTCCGGGGAGGCCTGGTGGTGTGTGGTCTGGCCTGCTGGTAGAGGCCCAGGCGGAGCTGGGGAGGGTGGAAAGAAGCGAGGCCAGCTCCAGACTGCAGGTCTCAGACAGCCCCACCCCCACACGCAGACTTTCTGGCTGAGCAGGGCCATTCCAGCCCCTCCCTGACAGCTTTTCCTGAAAACAGAGAACAGAACTTTGACCCCTGCTGACGACATTGGTGGTGCCTGAGGGCAGGCTTACCCAACCCAGCTCTGCCCAGACTCTCTCCTAGACCAGCCCTCACTGAGGGAGAGAAAAGGACACACCTGTAAGTCCCAGGGCCCCATCCACCACCTGAGGCACCAGAGTGCCTCTTCAGGGGAACAAGAACTGGACACAAGACCCAAAAACAACAGTGTAGCCTGCTCCTCTGAGCAAGTGCCACCTACTGACAGGGAGGACATCCTGCACACCCTTTTCATGGCACCTACTGACTCATCATACAGGGTGTAGTCGAATCTCACCCACAAACACCACCTACCAGCTCAGAGACTAAATAGGGCGTGTCAATACCCAAATGAAAACCTAAAGGCAAGAAGCAACAACTGATCCAGACGGGAAGAAATCAGCGAAGGAACTCTGGAAATATGAAGAACCAAACGGAAAGCACACCCCCAAAGAGGAGCAGCACCTTAGAAATGGACACCAACCAAAATCAGACCACTAAAATGACAGAAGAAAAATTTCGAACATGGATCGTAAGAAAATTCAATGACTTGCAAGAACAACTGGATAACAAACACAAAGAAAATGCAAAATGATTCCAGGACCTGGAACACAAATTCACTAAAGAAACTGAAACAATGAAGAAAAATCTAACCAAACTCCTGGAAATGAAGAATCAATTCAGGGAACTAGAAAACACAGTGGAAAGCCTCAAGAACAGGGTAGATCAAACCGAAAGAAGAATCTCAGAGATTGAAGATAACACCCTCCAATTAAATAAATCAGTCACAGAGATAGAGCAGAGAAACAAGAGAAAAGAGCAAAGCCTACAAGAGATGTGGGATTATGTGAAGAAACCTAATGTGAGGGTCATAGGGTTACCAGAGGGGAAGAAGAAAACAAACACTCAAGGATTGGACAAACTATTTGAAGATATAATAGAGGAAAATTTCCCAGGCCTTACTAAAAATCTCCAGATACAAGTTCAAGAAGCTCAAAGGACTCCTGGGAGATTCAATGCAAACAGGAAAACCTCATGACATGCTGTCATCAGACTGACCAAAATATCAACTAAAGAGGCCCTTCTATGAGCTGTGAGATGAAAGAAGCAAGTAACATACAGGGGAAAGCCAATCCGAATAATGCAGGACTTCTCTACTGAAACCTTACAAGCAAGGAATGACTGGGGCCCCATTCTCATTCTTCTGAAACAGCTTACAATCTTATTCCCTGCAAAACTAAGTTTTGTATATGAAGGAGAAATCAAGACATTCTCAGATAAGCAAAGACTGAGGGAATTCACCAAGACAAGACCAGCCCTTCAAGAAGTACTCAAAACAGTGTTAGCCACGAATCAGCACAATAAGCACTCACGAATGTAAATCTACTCAAAAGTTAAAGATCAAAGCCCAGATACTACAATGGCTCAAGAGAGAAAACAAAGCAACAATGTTCAACCAAACATAATGAACAGAAATCTGCCCCAGCTATCAGTTATCTCAATAAATGTGAATGGCTTGAACTCCCCACTCAAGAGACATAGGCTGGCTGAATGGATAAAAAAACACAAGCCAAGTATCTGCTGCCTTCAGGAAACACATCTAACCTGCAAGGATGCAGTTAGACTACAGGTAAAGGGGTGGAGAACAATATTTCAAGCAAACGGAAGCCAAAAGAAAGCTGGCATGGCGGTGCAGATTACAGATAACTTAGTTTTTAAATCAAAAAAGTAATAAAAGACAAAGAAGGTCACTATATAAAAAATAAACAAAATTGACACAACTTTGGCTAGACTAATGAAAAGCAGAAAAAAAAAGTCTCTAATAAGCTCCATCAGGAACAATAAAGGAGAAATTACAATGGATGCCACAGAGATACAAGATATAATTCATGAATACTACAAAAATACTATGCACACAAACTGGAAAATGTGGAGGAAATGGACAATTTCTTAGAAACACATAGCCTCCCTAGGCTCAACCAGGAAGAAATAGAATTCCTGAACAGACCAATATCAAGTACTAAAATTGAAACAGCAATAAAAAACCTTCCTAAAAAGAGAAGTCCCAGACCAGATGGTTTCACACTCAAATTTTACCACACCTACAAAGAAGAACTGGTGCCTATCCTGCAGAAATTATTCCACAACATTGAGAAGGATGGAATGCTCCCCAACACATTTTATGAAGTGAACATAACCCTGATACCAAAACCAGGAAAGGATGCAACAACAACAAAAAAATTCCAGACCAATATCCCTTATGAATATAGATGCAAAAATTCTCAACAAAACCCTAGCCAATTGAATCCAGGTGCTTGACAAGAAAAATAATCCAGCCGGGCATGGTGGCTCACGCCTATAATCCTAGCACTCTGGGAGGCCGAGGCGGGGGACTGCTTGAGGTCAGGAGTTTGAAACCAGCCTGAGAAAGAGTGAGACCACGTCTCTACTATAAATAGAAAGAAATTAATTGGCCAACTAATATATATAGAAAAATAAAATTAGCCGGGCATGGTGGCACATGTCTGTAGTCCCAGCTACTTGGGAGGCTGAGGCAGGAAGATTGCTTGAGTCCAGGAGATTGAGGTTGCTGTGAGCTAGGCTGATGCCAAGGCACTCTCTCTAGCCTTGGCAACAAAGTGAGACTCTGTCTCAAAAAAAAAAGAAAAGAAAATAATCCATCACAATCAAGTGGGCTTCATCCCAGGGATGCAGGTATGGTTCAACATATGCAAATCTTTACATGGAATTCACCATATACACAGAATGGTCAACAAAATAGACATAGATGGGGCTGACCTAAAAATGATAGAAGCCATATATGACATACCCACAGCCAGTATCATACTAAATGGGGAAAAACTGAAAGCATTCCTACTTAGAACTGGAGCAAGACAAGGTTGCCCTCTATCTCCACTTCTATTCAACATAGTGCTGGAAGTCCCCGCTACAGCAATCAGACAAGAGAGCAGAATTAAGGGCGTCCAAATGGGAGCAGAAGAGATCAAACTCTCACTCTTCGCTGATGACATGATATTATACCTAGAAAACCCCAAGGATTCAACCAAGAGACTCCTTGAACTGATAAATGAATTTGGTAAAGTCTCAGGATACAAAATCAATACACAGACCTGCGCCCACGTGACCAGCGGTCGTCCCGGCGGGCTGGATCGTGGCCCAGCCGCCATTGTTCCTCCCGGGGAGGACGGCGGGGCCTGGCGCTGCGGGGAGACGCCGCTGGGGACGATCCCTCCCGCCTGCCCGCTCCTCCCGCGGCGGGGAGTGAGGCTGACTAGGGGGAACCTGGGAGCCCCCCGCGCCTCCCCGCAGCGACAGCGGCCAATCCGGCTGGCCTGAGGCCGCCCGCCGGCCCTCCTGGCTTCCCTCGACGAGCCCACCGCGTCTCCGCGCCCAGCGTCATCCTGTGAGTGCCTGCCGGGCGAGGAGGCTGGGCCGGCTGCGGGAAATGCTGTCGGTTGGCCTAGGCTTTCTGCGCGCCGAGCTGGGCCGCGACCTGGCCGGGAGAGCACGCCCGCAAGCGCCAGCGGGAGGCGGCGGCCCTGCCGACCTGGCCCTGCCGAAGAATCTCAGAAGCGACGAGCAGAAGAAGAACCGGAAGAAACTGACGGAGAAACCCAGACCAAATGGACGGACTGCTGAAGTGGCTGAGGATGGAGTCCGAACTCCTCAAAGTGTAACAGCAAAGCAGCTACCAGAGATAGATAAGAAAAATGAAAAGTCAAAGAAAAATAAGAAGAAATCAAAGTCAGACGCTAAAGCAGTGCAGAACAGTTCACGCCATGATCGAAAGGCAGTTGATGAAGGCGCCTGGGAAACTAAAATTAGTCACAGAGAGAAACGCCAGCAACGTAAACGTGATACGGTGATGACTGATTCTGGTTCATTGGATTCTACTATCCCTGGAATAGAAAATACCATCACAGTTACCACCGAGCAACTTACAACTGCATCATTTCCTGTTGGTTCCAAGAAGAATAAAGGTGATTCCCATCTAAATGTTCAAGTTAGCAACTTTAAGTCTGGAAAAGGAGATTCTACACTTCAGGATTGAATGAAAACCTCACTGTCAATGGAGGAGGCTGGAATGAAAAGTCTATAAAACCCTCCTCACAGATCAGTGCAGGTGAGGAGAAGTGGAACTCTGTTTCACCTGCTTCTGCAGGCAAGAGGAAAACTGAGCCATCTGCTTGGAGTAAAGACACTGGAGATGCTAATTCAAATGGAAAAGACTGGGGAAGGAATTGGAATGACCATTCAATATTTTCTGACATTGGGTCTACTGCTGAGCCAGTTTCTCGGTCTACCACTTCTGATTATCAGTGGGATGTTAGCCGTAATCAACCCTATATCGATGATGAATGGTCTGGGTTAAATGGTCTGTCTTCTGTTGATCCCAGCTCAGACTGGAATGCACCAGCAGAAGAGTGGGGGAATTGGGTAGATGAAGAAAGAGCTTCAATTCTAAAGTCCCAGGAACCGATTCATGATGATCAAAAGGTTTCAGATGATGATAAAGGGAGAGGGAGCACTTCCAACAGGGAAGTCTAAAAAGAAAAAGAAGCAGCAAGGTGAAGATATCTCTCTTGCTCAGGACACAGAAGAATTAGAAAAAGAAACTAAAGAAGAGCTTCCAGTAAATACCTCTAAAGCCCGTCCAAAACAGGAAAAAGCTTTTTCCTCGAAGACCATAAGCACAAGTGATCCAGCTGAAGTACTCATCAAAAATAGCCAGCCTATCAAGACTCTTTCACCTGCTGTTTCTACCGAGTCATCTGTTATTTTATCAAAAAGTGACTCTGACAAGAGCTCTTCCCAAGTGCCACCGATGCTACAAGAGACAGAAAAATCCAAGTCAAATACCAAGCAAAATAGTGTGCCTCCTTCACAGACCAAGTCTGAAACTAGCTGGGAATCTCCCAAACAAATAAAAAAGAAGAAAAAAGCCAGAAGAGAAATGTGAATTTTTTTCCAGAATTGGACAGACACGTGTTTGCAAACACTGTCTTGAAGATATGCTGTTTATGCAATTTGTGAACATGTGCAGAGTTTTATATAAATTTAAACCAATTTTTAAAACAAAACTGTGAACACAACCACCATAAAAATGGAATCAAAGGAAAATTAATTTATGAAATTAAGAGGTCAGCAGAATATACTACAGTGCTGGAAGACACTTGGGAAAGTCTTTTTAATTGAACAAGAGTGATCTTAATTTAAGAATACTATCCTGGTTTTACAACAGTGCCCTGTTTACAACAGATTGTGCCTTAACTCATCTGCAGTCAAGGAATAAAGGATTCTGATTAGAAAGAGGGTTGCCTACAAATTAGTAGGCAACTCCTTGGATCTTATGCACAGAACTTGTACCATTTCAATCTGTTTTATGCTTAAATCAAAGTGCTTTGATCAACTGCATAATCTGCCATATCTTTACATATTTGTTGGTTGCAATTTGTATTAAAGGAAACACAGTGCAAATAAAAAGTCATTTATCATTTATTTAACTAAACTGTCATAGTTTAGTTTATAATTTTTAAAAAGTTCTTAATTAAAATATTGAAAATGCAGTTGACACTTGTATGGCTTATGAAGTTATTTTTTTTTATTTTTTTTTTTTTTGAGACAGAGTCTCACTTTGTTGTCCAGGCTAGAGTGAGTGCCGTGGCGTCAGCCTAGCTCACAGCAACCTCAAACTCCTGGGCTCAAGCGATCCTCCTGCCTCAGCCTCCCGAGTAGCTGGGACTACAGGCATGCGCCACCATGCCCGGCTAATTTTTTTTATATATATCAGTTGGCCAATTAATTTCTTTCTATTTTATAGTAGAGACGGGGTCTCGCTCTTGCTCAGGCTGGTTTTGAACTCCTGACCTTGAGCAATCCGCCCGCCTCGGCCTCCCAAGAGCTAGGATTACAGGCGTGAGCCACAGCGCCCGGCCTGAAGTTATTTTTGATAGTCTTACATTACTTGAATTGTTCAAAGTACAGTATATTTTAAATTAAGAAAAGTAAACTATATGTATTTGTTTTATACATTAAAGGGTCAGACTCACAAACAATGCTCTTGTTTATGATTTGAAAACTTTCAGTCAAAATCCAACTTACATTTTTCCTTTCCCTAACAATTACTTTTTCCAGCATCAGCTCGCCTTAGTTACTGATACTTTTTGACTTTAAAAATGAAATCCTCACAAACTTTTAGTAAATGATGGAGAATGAAAAACTAGAGTCAGACAGCTTTAATTGACATTGTCAAGACCTCCAGTTATCAGGAATACATTTTTTACTGCCTTAACCTGTAGTGCATAGAATATGCATCAATTTCTTGAAGGGGATTCGTGTTTTTATAAGAATGTTCATGTAATTATTGCAACTGTGGTCAAATAAGGAACGTTTCCTGCTTGAAACTATAATGATTTAAATGATGTGTGAGATGTTTCACCATTTTCAGGCACTGTGTAATTCTATTGTAATAAACTGGCAGGTATCTTTGTAACTAAAACAACAACAACAAAAACAACAATCAATACACAGAAATCAGAGGCATTCATATACACCAACAACAGTACAAGTGAGAACCAAATCAAAGACTCAATTCTCTTCAAAATAGCAACAAAGACAATTAAGTACCTAGGAATATACTTAACTAAGGAGGTAAAAGACCTCTACAGGGAGAACTATGAAACACTGAAGAAAGAAATAGCAGAGTATCTAAACAGGTGGAAGAATATACCATGCTCATGGGTCGGCAGAATCAACATTGTTAAAATGTCTTTCTACCCAAAGTCAATGACCTACAGAGTCAATGCAATCCCTATTAAACTACCACCATCATTTTTCACAGATATAGAAAAAATAGTTTTACGCTTCGTATGGAACCAGAGAAGACCCCGTATAGCAAAATCAATCCTAGGCAATAAAAACAAAATAGCAGGTATCAATTTATCAGATTTCAAACTATACTACAAGGCTACAGTAATTAAAACAGCTTGTGACAGGCACAAGAACAGGAACATTGATCAGTGGAACAGAGCAGAGAACCCAGATATAAAACCATCCTCATATAGCCAACTAATCTTCGAAAAGGCAAACAAAAACATACACTGGAGGGGGGCGGGTATATACATACATAATGAGTAAGATGTGCACCATCTGGGGGATGGTCATGATGGAGACTCAGACTTTTGGGGGTAGGGGGGAAATGGGCATTTATTGAAACCTTAAAATCTGTACCCCCATAATATGCCGAAATAAAAAAAAAAATCAAAACATTCCCTAAAAACATCAGGTGGTCAGATTTAGACCACAGTTTGTGAAATTCTACCCACATTCTTCCATTCCAGTTTTAAAGAAATCAAATTAGCCTCTGATGGGATTTTAAGCTCTTCTTGTGGAATGGGCTGGGGAGAGGAGAACAAGAAGATATTTGTCTAATGGCATGGCAAAGATGAATTAAACTGAAATACTAACTCTTACACGCTAGAAAGTGCCATTGCAAAATATTCATTACTGGACTACGTATTTAATGAGTGTTCATTTAAAGTTAAAAAAAAAAAAACCTTTGAAAACTTAATAAAAGATTTGTTGCTTACAACTGGGAAAAAAAAAAAAACATACACTGGGGAAAAGAATCCTTATTCAATAAATGGTGCTGGGAAACTGGATAGCCACATGTAGAAGACTGAAACAGGACCCACACCTTTCACCTCTCACAAAAATCAACTCACGCTGGGTAACAGACCTGAACATTAGGTGTGAAACTATTAGAATTCTAGAGAAAAACGTTGGAAATACTCTTGTAGACATTGTCCTAGGCAAAGAATTTATGAAGAAGACCCCCAAGGCAATCACAGCAGCAACAAAAATAAATAAATGGGACCTGATCAAATTAAAAAGCTTCTGCACAGCCAAAGAAACTGTCAAGAGAGCAAACAGACAACCCACAGAATGAGAGAAAATTTTCTCAAGCTACACATCCGATAAAGGGCTGATAACTAGAATTTATTTAGAACTCAGGAAAATCAGCAAGGAAAAATCAAACAACCCTATCAAAAAGTAGGCAAAGGACATGAACAGAAAATTTTCAAAAGAAGACAGAATAATGGCCAAACATATGAAAAAATGCTCAGCATCTCTAATCATCAGGGAAATGCAAATCAAAACCGCAATGAGATATCACTTTAACTCCAGTGAGAATGGCCTTTATCAAAAAGTCCCCAAACAATAAATGTTAGTGTGGATGTGGAGAGAGAGGAACACTCCTACACTGTTGGTGGGACTGCAAACTGGTTCAGCCTCTGTGGAAAGCAATATGGAGATACCTTAAAGCGATACAAGTAGATCTACCATTTGATCCAGCAATTCCACTACTGGGTATCTACCCAAAAGATCAAATGACACTCTACAAATGGGACACCTGCACTCAAATGTTTATAGAAGCACATTTCACAATTGCAAAGGTATGGAAACAACCCAGGTGCACATCAATACATGAGTGGATTAATAAAATGTGGTATATGTATACCATGGAGTACTATTCAGCTTTAAGAAACAATGGTGATCTAGCACCTCTTGCATATTCCTGGATAGAGCTGGAACCCATTCTGCTAAGTGAAGTATCTCAAGAATGGAAAAACAAGCACCACATGTACTCACCAGTAAATTGGTATTAACGGATCAATACCTCAGTGGACATATAGGAGTAACATTTATCAGGTGTCGGGCAGGGGGGAGGGGGAGGAGGGGATGGGTATATACAAACATAATGAGTGAGATGTGCAACGTTTGGGGGATGGACACGCTTGAAGCTCTGACTCGAGGGAGGGAGGGGGGCATGAGCAATATACATAACCTTAACATTTGTAACCCCATAGTATGCTGAAATTAAAAAAAATGAAAAAAAAGAAAGAATGCAGGAAATTTCTATTCTGTTGATGGTATAAGTTGGTTAAATTTGTCACAAACATTCCTAAAATGCTTTTGAGATTAATTATGTGGTGTCAGTGGCTCCTCACAGACCATGTGCACAAAGGCACTTGCTGGCTCTGACAATTAGGACGAGATGATCTCATTCACTTCCCAGCTCACTAATAATATTCTAATATTATTAGAATATTAGATGAAAATTAGAAGAAAGTATTTAAACGGAAGTAAATATTAACTACAATAGTAAAAAGAAAAATATATTCTGTGTATAATATTAATATAATCTTCTAACAAGTTCTTATTATTTCTTTGATCCTTCCATAAACTGTTGATACGTGTTAGTCATACTTTCTGGAAGGAGATCGCTGTTGCCCCCCCTTCATCAGATGTGTGAATTCCTTGTTCCTTTTCAAATTCTCTGGACTTGTGTATACATGATAGAGATATCTATTTCTTAAAGATTTAGAAAAGTTTGGGCTTATTGGGACTTTTTGTGTGTGAGACATTTTAAACAATTTTTTTATTTACTAATTTTTTTTTTAGAGATGGGGGGTCTCACTAATGTTGCTCAGGCTGGTCTTGAACCCTTTGCCTCAAGCAATCCTCCTGCCTCAGCCTCCCAAGTAGCTAGGACTACAGGTGTGTGCTACCATGCTGATAACGAAGAAAAAACTTTTTTTTGGAGAGACAGGGTCCCAATATGTTGCCCAGGCTGGTCTCAAACTCCTGGATTACAGGAGTGAGCCACTGGCCTGGCAAATTCAACCTCTTTGATGGTGAAAGTTCTATTTCTTTTTGAGTGAGTTCTGGAGGAATATTTGCATTTAATATTTGAAGAAATACGTTGATGTTTTCCTAGAAAACTGTTGCAAAATTATATTTGCATAACATTGTTCATAGTACTAAGATTTCTATGACAGCTTTACTTTCACTTTTTCATTTCTCAGATTCCCCACATCTTCTGAGGATTATAAAATTTTATCTCACTGTTATTTCAAGTTAGATATTCCTGATCACTAATGAGACTGAACATCTTCAAAATGTTTATGGGCCATTCGTGATTCTCTTCTTTGACTGGCCTATTCTAACCTTTGATAATTTCTTACTAGGTTATATTTTTATTAATGGTTAGTAGAAATTTTTTATAGGTTATCTGTCTTGACTTTGCTTTTTCTGCAGTTTCCTTATGCTGTGTCTGGATAGATATTTTCTTTTATTCATCCTGCTTGAGATTCAAATCTGTGGACTCTTTCACCATTCTGGAAAAATTTTAGGTACCATATCTTCAAAGATCGTCTCTAGTTCATCCTGTCTATCCCCTTCTTCTGGAATTCCCACTGGACATTGGACAGGGACATTGTCTGATTTTATCTTCTGTCTCTTAAGTTCTGTGACAGACACTATGACTTGGTTAACCCAACAGTCATTCCCAACCTCTCTCTCCCTTCCAGGCTTCCCACTGAAGAAGCTAAAAAATGTTACACTCACTTCCTCAAATGCCCTTGCAACTGGGGTGGCCATGCCAACACAGCACTGCCAATTAGCTGGAAGAACCCTGGGGGGATCCTTTTACCTTTCTTGCCAAAGGGGAAACAGGTGAGGTAGTTGTTCTCTCTCTTTCCCTTTCTTCCTGCTGTGCATGTGGAATTGATGTCTTAAGCTTAGGAGCCACATTCAGCCACAAAAGAACAAGTATGGGGACAAAAAGCCAATAAAGATGGTGGAGAAAAAAGACACGCTGGGGTCCTCGATTTCAGCATTAAGCAGTGAGTCAGTCTGGAAACTACCTTTGGACTTCTTGTTTAAAAAAATTAGCATCTTTATGGTTTAAGCAATTGTTAGTTGGGTTTTCCGTTTCTTGAAGACAAACACATACTAATAAAACCTTTCCATGATATGTTCTATTTTTTAATGTCTCTTTTATATTCTGGGTTATTTCCTTATATTTATTTTCCAGTTTAATGTTCTCTCTTTTGTATCTAATCAGTTTCGCAAGTCATCTCATTGTGTTTTTAATTCCAAATTTTCATTTCTAGAAGTTTTATTTTATCCTTTTTCCAAATCTCTTTTTTGACAGTATCATCTTTCTTCCTTATGGTTTCTATTCTTCCATTTATCTCTTTAATATGTTTAAACACAATCTTTTTGTACTCTCTTTCTTATTATTATTCTGATAGATAATCTTGTTTGTCTTATCTGCTGACTAGATCAAATAGATTATTTTCTTGAGTGTTTTATAATTTTGGCTTGCAAGCATATTTTCAGCAGCCATTGTACTACCAGCCCAGGAGCTTCCTGCACCAGAGAACATAAGTAAGGGCTTCATGTATCATGGATATAAATTTGAACTCCAAGTCTTATCTGGCCCTGTTTTCTTTTCTTATAAGAGGTCTTCTTTCTTTTTTTGCCCACAAAAAAATCCAAGGTGGAGACAAGCTTCCTTACTACCTCCCTGGACCGGCAGGTGGAGTTTTTAAAATTTCCACTTTCACTAAGAACAGCCTGTTTTGCACCTTGGATTTATGTGGGAATCTCAAGTACTAATGCTCTGCTTATGGGAGTGCAGGGTCTTGTCTCTTGCTCCTGCGTGGGCATGAAATAAAGCCTGCAGCCACTGGGGCCTACACTCATTAGGGTCCTTTATTATGAGCCCTATACCATCAGCCCCACTCCACCCCCTGGGGTTTCCACAGTCTCAGCTCATGTCTTTTGGCTCTCTTTACTTTCTTTTAAAATTTCTGGCATCTGGTTATTTTCCATTCCTTCCTGAGAACTCAGCTATGTATTGATTTTTTTTAATTACATTTTATTTAGATTTCTAGGTGATTTGAACAAGAGGCCTTTAATGATAATTCAGTCTGTGTTTCCAGAACTTAAATTTATCCATAATGAAATGTTAATTGACAAAACACCAAATCATGTCTGATTAGACCAACCGAGTAACTTTAAATTAGGTATAGTAGAGAGCATAAAGTTCTTTCTCATATAATTAGAATAAAGCATCACATGGGATACAAAACAGAGCACTTACCAGGCTGGGCCTGATGCCCACACTTTCAGCTGCTTCAAATGCCAACAAGAGATTCCTCTTCTAGGTTAAAAAGACAAAGAGATTGGAATCATCAATTTAAAATATATAACTTTTGCTAGGAAAGAACATCAATTGACACTCTGATATAGACTATCTACTAATATTATGCAAATAATAGTAAGTCAAATATACAAACAATGGCTTCAGTTTAAGAAAAAAAGATTAACTGGTTACAACTGCCACTAAAAATTACATTACTGACTGATAACTATCAAAAATAAATATTCGTTAGGTAATTTTTCACTTTGTCAAGATTTATGCCATACACATTCTGTTGTATAACAAAGTTGCTTAATCATGGTGCTATATCAGAAAAATTATCAAAGTAGAGTATGTGTATGTATCTATCCATCTATCTATAGTTCAATATAATTATATGAAAAGCTGTTCTTTTCCCCAATTCAGGTCCTTAGGAGAACCACCTTTTCATTTTCTCTTTAGTTATGGCGATTACATTACCTCCATATCTTGATAATATGCTTACACAACTATTTCTTGATTTCTAAAACAAAAGCATTATCTGCTGACTTCCTCCAAGATGAATAAGGAGTTAGGTACCATGCATCTCTCTCCTCCTTTCATCATAGTCCTGCAGCTAATTTTAGTTCCCTTATTATTAGTTATGTTTATGACCTTAAATTACACCGGTTATGTACAGCATTTCCCGACTCCACTTTGTATAAGGAGAAAGTTGCCCTGTCTTTCCTCTACCATGTCAAGTTTTACTTTTAAATTGCTAAAGCTAAGACCATCTGCTTCCTTTAGAAGCACCTGTAGGCATTCTGTACTACTAGCGTGACTCTGGAAGCTGAGAATAGGCAGCGCCCGTGCAGCCTGAGCGCCCTGTGCCTCCCGCAGCCAGCTGTGCTGTGTCCTGTCCACTCCACTCGCAGCTTTGTGCCAGGACCCTCCTCTTGTCACTCTGCCAATCGCTCAGAATCAGTTTAGTCCGCTCCAGATTTTATCCTGCATTTCTTCAAAAGTTTGGTTTTTTCCTACAGTTTCTGCTTGTTTGGATTTTTCTTACTGGGAGAAGAATTTTATGCCTCCTTCTCATCTGCTTCTTACCCATTCTGACCACTGCTTTCAACTCATAAGCTTCTCCTTGCAGCCACCGACTTTCTGTTCTGACAGGGAGGGCTGCCTCAGGTTTGGACCCTAACTTCTCTGCACAGCTGCTCATTTTCTCCATCAACACAGCCTCCATCTCTTAATCCTCTCATCATTCTATAAAACTCCTTCAGCCCAGAGCCACCCAGAACCTTGCATGGAGTTTTGCATTATACCTGTTTTGCTAAAGCATATGCCTAGGTTTCTTTAGTAAAGGAAAATGAAAATCTCTGGACACACCCCCCCAACAACTGCTTATGCAAAAGGAAAGGTCAAGCCCGGAGGCCAGCTGTGCAGCACTCCTTCCAAGTGAGTAACCTTACCAACATCGTGCGTTAGCCAGATTGCCCCTGGGAAAGGCAAAAGGCCTCAGGCATCTATAAGAAAAGTCCCCACAGCTCCTCCCTAAGGAAATTCCTTGCTGGGCTCCCATAACAAAGGACATGCAAATTGTAATTTGGGGTCTGCAGACTAAGTCTAGCTCCTAAAACTAAAGTCTGTTCAATTCCACAGGAATATATTCATTCCAAGTTTATCTTCCCAGGTGCAGAACACAGGACATTCCTCAACTTACCCAGGGACATATACATAATGGATTCTTTCTTCAATCCCTTTTTGTCTTCTAACCTTGGCCTTATCATATGTAAAATGTAAATTTCCTGGGCCGCAGAAGAATGTAACCATTTTCCTCACTGCCCACCCCCCTCCTACTTTTTCTTTCTTTACGGGTACCTCTTCCCCTTAAACACTGAAGCTCCCACATTCTGCTGGGGGGATGGGACACAGTTGTGGGTATGTCTTTGCTTGTGCTCCCCGCACCCCACACGTGTCCTCAAACTTTGGCTTAATGCCGTGCCCTTGACTGAAATCTTTGCCTCAGTCACTTATTTTGGGTTGTCCCCTTCTTAACAAAGGCTATGGGGAGACACATTTTCTGGATGAGTTCATACATGAAAAGATCCCTTTTCTATGATCACACTTGACTGACAGTCTGGCTGGACAGAGAATTCTAGGTTGAAAATACTTTTCCCTCAGAATGTTAAGGGCTCTTCTCCACAGAAGTTCAGTCCTAGTGTGCAGCTTCTTTTTGAGGCTCTCCCAGGTGTTCTCAGACATCAGACAGACATCAGTCTGTCCACTGAGATGACTTACACATCACTGAGCCACGCCTCCCTCTCCTTAATTCACAGCAAAGCCACTGGGATTATACTAAACTTTAATTAAATTGGTACATTAAGTATATAATTGAGAGACTAGTATTTCTCTGTTTTTCTACATATATCCCCTGTACAATTTCTTAATTTTGTACGTTATTTTTTTTCAGGTTTTATATGTCCTTTAGTACCCTTTCCATCTCCCCCATGGCTTTCCCTGTCTGCCACTGCCGGGACATCTGGAACCTGAAGACCAGAGGGTTTGTCCAGACACAAGCAAACTCTGCTCTAGGAAGCAGGTCAGAGAAAGCGGAAGGCTGTCACGTTTTCTGCAGTCTGTGGTCGAGGGCTCAGGGAGCCTTGGTCTGTGGTGGTCTGGCCCAGGCCTCTCTTCTTTGACACTGAAGGAAATTAATGGGGATGGGCAGGAGCCTCACGCCTGTTTGCATGACACTGCTCTGCTCTGCAGAAAGGAGCTGTGAATTGGCTCCCAGCTTGCTTCCACTTAGCCCAGATTAGCAGTGGCTTCTCCCGTCGCAGTGCCAGTGCGAGTGGTGCCTTTATTCTTCTTTTAAAATCCTTTTGGTTAGTTTAGGGGGAGGGATGGGGTTTGTAAGCCAGCTTTTAGGTTACCAAAGATACAAACATTTTCATGGCTTTTGAGGACTAAACTCTGATCTTTTTCTTTTGCTAAAAACTCCTTCCTAAGGAGGCCAGCTGGGTCAGGCTGACAAATGCTAAAATTCCCACTAAGCGGCTCTTGTTAACCAAATAAAGCAGTGGTTTACTTCCCAACCTGATTCTGGTATAGCACTAACAACACCTAAAAGATAAGAAGCCCCTACCTTAACCCCAGCATCCTAGCAGATGCCTATCATAAATTTAAAATACCTTAACTCAAGCATCCTAGCAGATGCCTATTCGTAAATTTCTTAAACCATCCTAGCAGGCGCCTATTGTAAATTTAAAACATCATCCTGTGTGGACCTCAGAGTGCTCACACCCTTATCTTAAAATAAGCATATCCTTTCTAGTCTTCTAGATAAAATCTAACTCTCTCAGCCAATTGCCAGCCAAGAAATCTTTAAACCCACCAATAACCTGTAAGCCCCCGCTTGGAGATGTCCCACCTTTTTGGGCCAAACCAATGTATGCCTCTCATGTATTGATTTGTGCCTTTGCCTGTAACCCTTGTCTCTCTGAAATGTATAACACCGAACTGTAACCCAGCCACAGTGAGTCCATTTGCCCAAGGCCTCTTGGCAGTGGCTCCGGGTCATGGTCCTCATATGTGGCTCAGAATAAATCTCTTAAAAATTATTTTGCAGAGTTTGGCTTTTTTTTCGTTGACACTTTTGATATGTAATAACAAATTGCTTTCTAAAAGTTTACACCAATTTTCAGTTCCAGCAATAGTGTGTAAGCGTCTACCTCCTCATACTCTTGAAACTGCCTTTACACACTGATAAAGGAGTGTGTGAAAATTTTAAGGCTCAACCCCCACTGGCTGACTGAAAGGACCCCCTCATGGCCAAAGGAATATCCTAAAATTAAATTGTCTGCCAGGAGGAGGGAGGTCAGACACGCCTTATCATGCCCCCCTCCCTTCTTGGAGACATCCTTTGTAACCCAATAACAGGCCTAAGGATATGCAAGACACACCTGCAGGTCCTCAATTTACACAAAAAAATCTATGTCCAAGGCTTATCTCTGATAACAGCTACTTATGTTAAAACATTCCAAGCCTTTAGACAAAGCTTCCTGTCTTTAACCAATTATAATCCAAAAAATCTTTAAATCCACCTATAACCTGTAAGCCCCCCCCAAGATGGCCCACCTTTTTGGGCCAAACCAATGTCTGCCTCCCACATATTGATTTACGACTTTACCTGTAACCTCTGCCTCCCTGAAATGTATAAAAATCAAACTGTAACCCAGTCACATTGAGCCCACTTACCCAAGACCTCTTGGGAGGGGCCCCGGGTCATGGTCCTCAAATTTGGCTCAGAATAAATCTCTTTAAAATTATTTTACAAAGTTTGGCTTTTTCCTGTTGACAGATGCAAGGTGAGAACTGTGGTAAAGGCCTAGCTAGAAATAATGATAATATTTAGCCACTGTCCCCCTGCTTCCTTCTCCATAATTGCCACACGGAGCCACACAGCTGGTGGTCATAAAGATTCTTAGCTTTCTCCATCGATGGTGTCACCTTTATGAGATCTAGGGGCAGTTTCTGAGGTGTCTTCCAGGCCTGCCTCCCAGTGGGGATGTGGCTGGCCCACCCAGACCAGGGCCCGTATGTATGGAGGAACTGACTCCACTGGTCTTGTGACCCCCCCACCCAAGAACCTGGTCAGCAAAGAAGATAATTTCTACACCCCTATGGTTCCGCCCCAAACCCAGCCAATTAGCAGACTCAATTGCCTACGCCAAACTGTCTTTAAAAACCCTGTCTCCCAAATTCTCAGGAGGTGGATTTGAGAAATTCCGCCTGTCTCCCGCTTAGCAATGTGTGGAATAAAAACTCTTTCTCTATGGTAAACCCTGCTGTCTGGGTGTACTGGCTTCATCTTGGGCAGTGGGCAAACCTGGGTGGGCGGCAACACTCTTATCTGCACAGAATATTATGATTTCCAAAAGTCTCTGCCAAATGCATCAGGCTAAAAATATTTTATTGTTTTAATTTGCATTCTTTGACTACTAGAGAGGTCTAAGGAGAAGATATTTCCAAACCAA